GACCCTCCCACAGTGCCCACTCCCTCAACACTGACCCTCCCACAGTGCCCACTCCCTCAGCACTGACGCTCCGACAGCGCAGCGCTCCCTCACTTCCCAGAATGGCTGGACAGCCATTCACCCTAACGCATGAATACTAGCCCTCATAGGAAATGCTATCTTTCAACCCGCGGGCAGCACCCTTTCGGAAGGTCGTGCCCGCTTCACCATTTCGGAGGTGGATTTACACAGAAGAAAGCGAGGTATTGAACACTGTGGTCTCTTAGAGGGGCAGCCCTACCAGCGCCAACACCACCCAAAGGGGACGAGGGACAGGCATCGTCCTGGAGGTGCCAATTGAACAGGGAATGATACAAGAGCATTAAAAGCCATCCCAAAGGTCAACAACTTGCCTCACGAACATTGACCAAGAGGCTGAAGTGAGGGGGCTGCTGGGTAATGGATGGAGGTTATGCTCACCGTGTCTTCACTGCTGCACGACACGACATGTTGGAGCTTGATCTCGGGCATCCTGCAAATGGGTGTGAGGGGGAGAATAGAAATGGCAAAAAGAAAATGCGACTGTGCGGACTTTTTTTGATGGAACAGTCAAAACAAAAAAAATCTCAGAATCGCAATTGAAACCCCTCGGGGGTGACAGAGGGCGATATTTAACAGGGGGTTCTCCTCATGGATCGGCGCGACAACGATGAAAACGTCTCTTAAGTAAGGTTTAAAAAGTTAGGGGTCTCTTCCATTTTTTTCCCCCTCTTCCCTCCGCGGGCGCGCGCTCCCCGTTCCACTTCCGGGTCACACTCTCCGCCCTCGACGGAAAACTCATTTCGAATTTAAATGGCGTTCAAAAAAACAACCTGAACCATATCCCTGCCCCTGTCAGCGCAGAGGGAGTCTCAAGGCACAATGAGGGACATTTTTTACTTTTGGCTATTTCCTTCTTGGGAAAGGGCGGCGCCAGGATGGCAAAGGTCAAGGGTCAGACCAAAGGTACGTGAGACAGGATAGGCCGCCGCCATCTTTGTGACTGGCAGACTCCCCCCGCCAAATCGATGCGCTGGGGAGTGAGGAGAGAGATGGGGTGGGGGGAGAATGGGAGAGAGATGGGGTGGGGGTGG